TATCAATGTTTGAGACATATAGTAAGGCCCAACATGCATGATATTTATTGTGTAAATAACTTTATATCAGCATTTTTAAAAATGTGATTAGAATCACCTAGAGTGTTTTTTAGAACTACAAATGCATGGACCATTGTACATCTGTTAAACAAAAATCCATAGAAAATCAATTAATTTTATCTGTTACTAATGGTGATTTAAGACCTGAATGACTGTCATTACGGAAAGAGAAAGTAACTGAAATAGAAGTTATTTGTAAACTAACATTGCTCACATTGGTTTGCATGAGCTAGGGACAAAGGAATGAAACTTCTATTAGCGCCATAGTCATGTGTCATGAAAGTGATACATGTTATCTAATGCAGACGTAAATAAAAGAGTGATACTGATATTGTTCAGCTTGGGCTGCCATGATAAAATACCATAAACTGTATGGTTTAAACAACAAGAATTTATTTTCTTACAGTTCTGGAAGCTAGAAGTCCCAGATCAAGGTGCCAGTCTGTTCAGTTCCTGGTGAGGGCTCTTTACTTGGCTTGCAGGTGGCTGCCTTCTTGCTACCTTCTCAGATGGTCTATCTTCTGTGTGAAAGCAGGAAGGGGAAGTGGGGGGAGGTATGGAGGGAGAGAGAGAGGAAAGGAGAAAGGAAGGGAGAGAGGGAGAGATAGTGTTTTGGTATCTTCTCCTTTTTTTCTAAGAATACCAGTCCTGTAGTATTAAGGCCCCATCTTTATGACCTCTTTTAATCTTAGTTACCTCCATAATATAGGCCTTTATCTCCAAATATGGTCACATTGGAGGCTGGGGCTTCAACATATGAACTTTGGAAGACACAGTTCAGTCCATAATAGTACCTTTATATAAAATACTACATTTTAATCTTGAGTGTTAAATTCCAGAGCATGGAATAAAATATAAGTGAAAATCCAAACTCTTTCTTCTCACATACGTTTGCTTTCTTTTTCTTACTTGTTTCCATTAATCGTATTATGAATACATATTTATTATCAAGGGAAGATTGCTCAGAGGGTCATTTACCATATTAGATTGTTATATGCACATATAGAAATAGAAGATGAAGCATTAAAACCACATAGTAGTAGAAAGAAAAAATTACAAAAGAAAAACTAAAATTGTCTTTTTTCACAACTAATATAGTAGATGAATGTTGCATTATGTATCGAAAATATTTTTTCTTTTATTGGAGTAATCTTTGACTCCTTTCTGCCTCTCATAAACTGTCAGCAAATCCTGTTGACTGCACCTTTTAAATGAAATCAGAATTTAGCAACTTTTGGCCCTTTCACTGCTACCAATGTTGTCTGTCACCTGGATGTTTACAGTAATGACTTAAAAGTCTCCCTGATTTTTTCCTTTTCTCTCCCTATCTGCCACCACATGTCACTACATCAGTCTGTTTTCAACAGAGCAACAAAGTGATCCTATTTAAATGTAACTTAGGACATGTCTTTCTCCCACAGCTTCTCGACTCTCTGAAAGTATAAACTCAAAGCTCTTCAGTGACCAAACACAGTCTTACAAGAGTCTCCCTGTCCCACCCCCGGCAACTTTATTACTTCTTTGACCTCCTCCCCAACTTCTCTTTTTTGCTCACTACGGTTCAGTCACATTGAGGAAGACCTTGTTGTTCCTGAACATTTCAGGTACATTGCCAACTCAAAGTCCCTGCACTTTGTTTTTCCACCTACCTTTGAAGTGTTTTCCCCAGGTAATTTTGTGGTTCACTTATTTCCTTCTGGTCTTTATGCAGAAGTGTCAGCTCCTCACTGAAGCCTTTCCTGCAACCCTATCTAAGATTGCAGTGTCTACCCCAAAGCTTTCTATCTCCTTTCTCTGCATTATTTTTTATTTTCGTCATTAGTACTTGTCATTGTTCAATGGCATATATATATGACTAATTTATCTCATTTGTGGTCTATTTTCCTCACTAGTATTAACCTTCATGAGACAAAACTGTCTATTTTCATTCCCTCCTTTATCCCCAGTGCCTGAAACAGTCTAACTCAGAAATAAATGAATAAATGAAGTCAACTTTACTTTAAAGAAGTAAGGAAGTAAAGCTAAAAATTATCCTATAGCAGAGACAATATGTGACTGCATATAACTCCATGCCAATTGGTGGATCAATAAATAAGATGGCATGTAGTAAAGAGTGTAGGATTGTGGAAGAAAAAGAAAGAAACTTACAGAACAACTTTTGAAGTAGTCAAAGACAATACTATTAGAGAAAGGATAAGTAGGAACCAAATAATGCAATCAGGTGAAAAATGAGAAAACCCAATAAGTAACAGCCAAAAGGATTGATTGAGACAGGAAAAGTCTTCCCATTGAGCACGGCCCTTCTTTGCCTGCAGCAGAGATGATCAGCTTCCTGTCAGGATTGAAGCGTTATTAGGAGCATCCTCCAGTGAGGCACGGGAGCAGCTTAGTTTAGTTCAGCCCCTGCCTTGTCTCTCCTGTTAGTTTAAGATCTGTGTTGTATTGGAATGTAGCATAGCACTAGTGACCAAAGGGATTGTGATTTCTACAAAAGGAAAGAAAATGTCTTACTTATTTATGATACCAGCAAAAATAGTATAAGTGGAGTATTAATACATCCCCTTATGAAAACCTTCTGCTTTTCTCAGGCCATCTTGCTCCTCTTATTTGAAGTACTGTTTTCATTGTAGTTTATCAGCAGTGCTCAGAGGAAAGGTGGAGTCTTTGAGTGGCTAAGGACCAGTCTCAGAAGGTCTTATCCCCTTATTTCCTCCAAATGTAAAATTGAAAGTATTATAACCAGCCTTACCTTATAGAGAATATTTGTAGGCAAATAATCATCATTCATTTATCAAAAATATCACCTACTAAGTTCTAAGCATTCTACTAATTTCTGGAGATTCAGCAATGAACCAGAGAGATACAGATGGTACCTTCAGGGGAAGTAAACAATTAAAATAACAGGTAATAAATTACTGACTGGTGCTATATGCTGTACAGAAAAAAAGACAGGGTGAAAGGAACAGATGGTGCTTAGGCATGGTTGTTTATACTAGATGTTGGTTAAGGAAAGATTCACTGATAATGTGATGTTTGAGCTGAAACTTTCAGGAAATAAGGGAGTGAGATGGGGATATATGGCAGGAATACAAATTCTAGGTAGCATGAATAGCAAGAGCAAAGGCCCCGAGGTGGCAGCATGCTTGTTGTGTTGAAAGAGCAGCAAATAGGCCAGTGTGACTGGAGCTCAGGGGTCGAGGAGAAGTGATTGGAATTGAGTGCTGAGATTCATGGGGTGGGGAGAAACAGATCATGTACTCCGCTGTAAGCCATAAGACTCTGAGCTAAATAAGTATCTATTATTTATTATAGCGTAGAACACTGATATGATGAATATAATGTTGATGAAGAATTATTTTAACAGCCCTGTATATGCTAAAAGAATTAAAGGAAATATTGAAAATAGGAAAAATTAAAATTTTATGTATTTCTAGTATCATTGAACATCATTCTAGTGATTTAGGAAGTGCATTTCCAAACTTGCTGTGGATTAGAGGAAGTGCACCTCTGACTTCTGGGTGGTCAGAAATGTGATTTAGAGAACATCAAATTTTAAGAGCTATTTTCAGTCATTCGTTCTTTCAGTCGACTAGGACCTCAATAAAAAAATAAAAAAAATTATGAAACCATTTTTTGTACCCCAACAAAAAATTTACTGAGTAATGTGATGAATGTTGATTGTGGAATAAGCAGTAGACTCTAAGAAAACAGAAAGTAACATTTAAATCAGTGTTTTGAATTCTTTGTCTTCTTCCTCAAAATGTTTGAGGAATGTAAACATTCCATTGTTAAAAGTGACCTTAGTGTCTATGATTCTCAATGAGGGCCAGTGCCTGGGGAAGGAGAGGTGGAGGGAGACAGAACAGTGGGGAAATAGCTCAAGCAAGGCTGATAGAACCTTGGAGAAGCTTGTCTGAGCCCTCAGAGCCCCTTAAGCAGAGCCATGCAAAACTTACAGAAGGATGGCCGGTTTCCTCAGACTTTGTCACCAAAAGAACTTTCTGCAATTTTCGTGTGTATGTTTGCTTTGTTATGTTTGCATTTACTTGTTTATATGGGGTATATTTGCTGTGAAAATTCACTCTCCTCTTTCCCTGTCCCCACCCCCACCTGCATGTTTTTTCTAAAGATAAAAGGAAACTCATTTGAAGACACAAATGCTAGAGCCTGCCTATGTGAAAATAGATCTTGTCCAACTCCTGGGGCCAGAAGAATTTTGTTTCCTCTTTCCATTACAGTTTCATAGGAAGCTGAGGGAGAGTACCACATTTAATGAGGAATTGTCTGGGACATTCTCTCCCATCACGGTTCATTCACTAGGAACATGTCCACGTGCTCTTCTGTATCTCTTCTTTCTTTCTGTTGAGAAATCGACATTACCGTAAAGGTCAGGAGCTTAATCAGTTCATTATGGATTCCACAGATCAGCTTATTTATAAATGATCCTCATACTTTTTGAGCAAGTGTTTGCATTGTTTTGCTGGAGACAAAATAATCTTTTGCCCTGTATAACTAGTGGTTTCAACATATTTTGTCTTTTATTTAAAGTTGCAATTACTTAAACTCTAGACAATAATTTGCTTTCTGCTGATCTGAAATTAGCTCAGGTGAAAGAAATACAAAATGATTCAGCTTGTCAAATATGATTTACTGTGCTAGGAACATATCTCTAGCATGTTGGGAGTAATCATTTTTCTCTTCTTAATTTTTTCCCTGAGTAGCTTCTATCATTATTTAATATAAGCATATTACATATACATTTAAGTAAATCACAAGTTAAATACTCTTCGTAGTAAAGATAAAACTAGAAATAGTTTTTTAAAAGTATTTTATTCAAGACTTTTTGGAACCGTGTACATAGCCTTATGTTTTGCAAAGAAAATAAAAGAATATCATTTCTTATTTTGATTATTTTCATTTTTTTTTACATTTTTTCCTAGTGTGCCCTGGTATGTGAATGTACAGCCCCAGAAAGTGTGAGCGGAAAAGATAACTTACCTTTTTTGAATTCAGGTATGTAACTCAGTTTTAAATACTTACGTTAGTTTCATGTGAAAATGAATTTTAATTTTATATAAAATAACACTGAACCAACATTCTCACAGTTGTTTGTGAAACTTAGTAAATACACTGGGAAATCATGAGGGACTAGCAGAATGAGGGAAGATCGTACAATTCCACAGGAAAGATAAATGTGCTAGCTATATGGCAAAACAGATGTGATCGGCCAGGCGTGGTGGCTTACGTCCCTAGTCCCATCACTTTGGGAGGCCGAGGCAGGCGGATCACGAGGTCAACAGATTGAGACCATCCTGGCTAACATGGTGAAATCCTGTCTCTACTAAAAATACCAAAAATTAGCTGGGCGCGGTGGTGCGTGCCTGCAGTCCCAGCAATTCTGGAGGTTGAGGCGGGAGAATTGCTTGAACCCGAGAGGCAGAGGTTGCAGGGAGCCGAGATCGCGCCACTGTGCTTCAGCCTGGAGACAGAGCGATACTCCGTCTCAAAAAACAAACAAACAGAAAACAAATATGATCATGTGCTGCATAATGACATTTGGTCAATGACAACTACATATATGACAGTGGTCTTATAAGATTATAACACAGCTGAAATATTTCTATCGCCTAGTGACATCTTGGTGATCCTGATCTTGTGTGGGCTTAGGTTAATGTGTGTGTTTTTGTCTCAGTTTTTAACATAAAAAATTAAAAAGTAATAAAATAAAATAAAATAAAATAAAATAAAAAGTTATAGAATAAGGAAGAAAGAAAAAATACTTTTGTACAACTGTACAATGTATTTGTGTTTTCAGCTAAATGTTATTATGAAAGTGTCAAAAAGTTAAGAAAATTTAAAAGTTTATAAAGTAAAAAAGTTACAGTAATCCTAGGTTAATTTATTATTGAAGAAAGAAAAGATTTTTAAAATGTTGTAGCCTACGTGTACACTGTTTATCAAGTCAACGGTAGAGTATGGTAATGTTCTAGGTCTTCACATTCAGCCACCACACACTCACTGACTCATCCAGAGCAACTTCTAGCACTGCAGACTTCATTCATGGCAAGTACCCTTTATAGGTGTACCATTTTTAATCTTTTATACCATATTTTTACTGTATCTTTTCGATGTTTAGATATGTTTAGGTACATAAATACTTAACATTATGGTACAGTTACCTAAAGTTTTACACACAGTAACATACTATACAGATTGTAACCTAGGAGCAATAGGCTATGTAGTAGGCTCTACCGCCTAGGTATTTGTAAGTGTATCCTGTGGTCTTTGCACTATGATGAAATTGCCTAATGGCTAATTTCTCAGAAAATATCTCCTTGTTAAACTACACATGACTGTAAATTTCTTTTAGCTATTGGATCATGTACTATCCCAACCAAGAAACACTAGAACACAGTGTGAAGCTCTTGTTTAGTTTGACTTCCTAATTATGCAACTCATAAAGTTGTTAAAACAATAGATATATGGATTCAGTAGGAAAAATTAATAATCACATTTGTATATTCTTGGGTATATATGTGTGTATTGCTTTATTCACAGTAATATGTTTGCATTTTAACAAGGTATTAGACTATATATTAAATGTATTTATGAATAAAATTGAGACATATAGTACAGTTAAAATATATGTGACATGAATATGTAAAATTACGGAACCAATTTTTAAATGATAATGTAAATTAAATGACCGTTAGTAAATAATGACTACTGTAGTGACAGACAATATGCTAATATCTTATATACCTTGTCTTAGATAATCCTCTGACATGTGCTATGAGGAAGGTACTATCATTATCCATATTTCACAAATGAGGAAGTCTTCAAGATAACCTATGCAGTAAACAATGGGTCCAGAATTTAAACCCACTTTGATTCCAAGGCCTTTGCTCAAGGCTGTGGTATTACTAAAAGGCATTAATCAACAAATTGGTGTCACAGTAAAATACCTTACTCTTTTTTCTAGCCCTGCCGTGTTGTACATTTAAGCAGAGACATAGATAGCATGATAATCAGGTAAATGAATAATACAGAACATCAACAGCTTACAAATACATAACCCCTAAATTATTAGCAGTTTTCTCTTGCAGGAGGCAGCTAACAATAGGGAATGGGGAAGGAGAGGCATCCCTTTGGCTCTGTTTATACACACAGATAAATAAAATGCAATTTAATTGAGAAATATGTTTCAAAACATCAAGTCCACTTTCACAGAATGAAGAATTAACCCAAGGAAGAACAGGTTTTTCTCAACCTACAGCCAAATGAAATGGGATTTTTCTTAGTTTTTATGAAAGATATAATACTGTGGGGTATGTACTAAATAGTGTTTTGAAGGATCTACCCAGAAGGCTATTAATAAATCAACCATACATGCTAAAAAACACCTGAGTTATTAGTGTTCTTAAAATATTTAAAGTATTATCAAAGGGTCCTTCTCACATTTGTTTTTCACCTGAAAGTTGGCTAAACCTTTAGTTCTTTTTAATATGTTCACAAACCATAATTTATTTCTTTCATTAAATGTTAATTTTTAAAAATAAATTTGAGTGGGATATTAAGTTCATGTTAAATACAGCTTGATTCAGGTTATCATCGAAACCATCTATACTATAATAAGACACATTTTAATGATTGACTTATGTGAACCCTCTAACTTTTTTATACACACAAAAAGAAGTGGCATTTTGTGATACTTATTGGTTAAGTATAAATTTCAAGGAGAAAGAGAAACATTACTTTAAAATCAAACAAACATATTACTTATGGAAGAAGAGACAGAGAGATCATATTGAAAAATAGATCATTACTTCTCCATAGCTGTGCCATAAATTCTGTAAGGCATAAGTCTTGGAAGCCATACTAATTCTTCCAGACTACCAGGGTATTTGTTTGTTACAGATAAACTGTAATATGACAAAAGCTACTGACATAAAATTGATGGGAGCAGCTGCATTCTGCAATTTAAATACACTTTGTGGAGTGAAAGATGATTAATTATTGCTTTTCTCCTTTCATGGAGGTGACAGTTTGGTGGTGACAGTCCACTTAGTTCTGAAGATAATTCTAAATGTCTTTAGTCCAGTCAACCTGGAGGACCACTCAGAACCTAGGATATTTGTCACAGATATTTTCCTGGAGTCATCTTATATTAGGAGAAGATGAGACTAAATGAAAATCAAATGTTATAAAGACTGGATTTTTAAAAACCTTATAAAAAGACAACTAAGTGCTATTCATAAAATGTTTCTGTTCAAAATATAAAGTTGCATTGTGCAGATATAAAATATGTATATGTATGACTTTAATCTTTTGTTCTATTTATTTATCTAAACTCAGCAACTCTGGAATTAATCCATTCTATACCCATGTGGTATTTCTTTAATCTGTGGGCAAAGTAATCTATTGACATTCTTCTCAAGTCTTTGTATTAATGTCTTAAATGGATTTTTCAAGTCTCCAGTGAGTTATGAAGTACTTACTGAGTGGGAGAGAATGTCATATCTTATATCAGTTCCTCACTATTCTATTTACATCTCTAGAGATTTTGGTATAAATCAGGAAGTTCACTTATCTGTTGTAAAACTAAGAAGGAAAACACTTTCCCCAAAGTCCTCACCCTTTTCATGCCCTTGCAAATTGAATGTGGATGTTGGGAATATGGGGAATTTACGGTGGAAGGAGAGAGAGAATAAGGAACAGGTGGGGCAGAATTTACAATTCCATAAGAAAGATATATAACTACCTTAATTACATGGGAATACAAACAAGGCACACACTAGAAGACACAGTATGTAATAGACATGTGAAGGTCTTACTTAGTTTGACTTTCTAACTATATAACTGATAAAATTAAGTTGTTAAAAAGTAGACTTATCTCTAATTATTTGCTTATTTAAATGAAATAGTACTAAGAAAACTTTAAATTATTTTCTGTGGGAGGTGGAGTGGAAAGGGGAGTAGGGGAAATGAGTTTTGACTGTATAGAAGGGGAGATGGTAGGTCTTTCACACAGTCATGGAGTTTGGTGCCTAAGTCACACTAACTGAGGTACCTTGTCTGCAGCACAGCAATAATAATTGCTGTATTGATACAAGAACACTGGATGGGCTGACAGAAGAAATGGTTTTAAAGCCTAAGTTTTTCAACCAGCAGTTTGGTCCTGAAAGACAGTTCAGCTTCTTTGCCTTTCAATTATTTTTAAATGACCAAATTAACCTAAACAGTTTTTTACTTCCTTTTTGGCTCTCAAATGTTTGAAGCTGATGTAGCATAGGTTAGCGTTTACATTGTTCTCCTTTTTAGAAACACTTAATGAAAGTATTCATTTTCATCAGTTTTATATGGAGGAATATTTGGCATTTATAGTTTTCTTTCTCAGGGGTTACTATTTACAGTTAAAAAGTCTGACCAGTGATAGAACATTTAAAAAAGTGTTTTAAACACAATTCTCTGTAAATTCCTTAATTCTCTCTTTTTTTTTTTGGTAAAATTATTGTATAATCCTACAGAGTACTTCAGCCCATGGACCCTAAAATTCCCATGCCAAATCTAAGAATCTGGTAGACTCTGTCACAAAGTTTCCCATTCTGGTCCCATTTACAGTGAGCTCCCTGCCTCAGCAAGCATTAGATCTGATACAGTATTTTTGTATATGTAACAGCCATGATTTCCATGACTGTGGGAGTTAGAATCCAAACAAAAATGAGGACACTGTGCTGCTATTAGTCATAAATATGTGCAGTTCGCCTTCCTATGTGGAGAACTTACTGGTATTTGTATTTCTTGCTTCACAGCTTTGATTCTTTTTCACCAAATAGGGTTAAATCACCTATTATTGTTGTTTTGAAGAAGACACTAGATTGTAAGCTACTTAAGAGAAAGGAACATTACTTTATATTTGCAGTCTATATCATTTTATGTTAACAAGCTCTGGGCACTTAAACGTTATAAATTGAATTCTTCATTATTTAGAATGTACCCTCTCCCATTGGTCT